AAAACCCCCCCCCCCCCCCCCCCCCCCGCAGGCAGTCTATTTTAGAGCCCATGCTTTTCACCACCACACTTTACTATCCCTGGTAATAACAGCCTATTCTAAAAATCAAAACAGCAAAACTAAGCGTTTCCTACCTCCTCCCTGCTTTGCAATGATCTCTCCTCTCTTCAGTGCATTACTTAGGATTTCTAAGGAAATCAGGGAGAAAAAAAAATTAGCCAAACTTCTCTATGGTTAATAAAAATTTGTTTATTACAGATTTCAGAGAAATACTACTAATTACGAAATTTAAAAAGGAAAGTGGGGGCAGGGGGTTGAGAAATACACATAGACAAGATCATTTTACTGGAAAATTGCAAAATCCTTGATAACGGGTCATGATGGGAGAAGCCGACATAGCTCCAAAGTGAGGCCCAGTTGGTAGAGCCATCTGGGAATGTGCCCAGCAAAGCCCATGTATACCCATGAAATGAATTTGGAAAGTCAGAAGAACAAGAATGGAGCCAGTGGTGCAGACCCTCAGTACTCATAGACGAAAGTGCACTCATCCACACAGATCCAATCAACATGTTAATATCCTGCAGCAAAACTAAAGCTACATTTACAGCCCCAAACCCTGCAAACCAGCAGCAAGTGCATGCAGTGCTAGAAATGTGACCTAGTTAACAAGCCGTGAACGGGAGGATTTCAGCAAGCTAAGCCCACCAGCCCCACCTGGAAGGAGCTGGGTGTGAGGGTGACTAAGTGACAGACAAAGCCTCAAAAAAAAAATAAAAACCCCAACACATTCAGCCGTCTAAGACAGAAAACACGGCTGCTTGCTTGCCAACAGTTCAGTTTGTGGAGTGCTATTATTAGTGATAACTTTTAGAAGTTTATTCTCAGTCTTTCATTATGTAGAGGAAACTTGGACTGTGCCATCCCCAACCTGGTCTTGAAGTGAGCTCAGTAACATGGACAATAGCCACTGGTCACATCAAGTATTATGGCCATAACCACAAAGAGATTAAACCCTATCCCACAACTGTTTCTAGTACTGCAACTACCTGCTAGAGGAAGGAAGTGCACCAAAAATAATAGACCTCCATCCTGCCTGCAAACCCAGTACAGGACTTATTCTTCTATAAAGTTTATGATCCTGCTCAGAAGGCCCAAGCCTACTCTCACTTTCCTAAAACAGTACTTAGATCAAACCATTTCTGGAAAAAGCCTTCACAATGGCTCCACCACTGATTTAAAGGACAAATTCTTTTCATGGGCACTCATTCACAGGTCTCCCTGCTCACTTCCAACTTGAATCTGTTCTTCCCGTCTCAGATAGACCATCACCTCCAAGCCTCTACACCTGACACTGTCTAGCCTCCTATCTTCCAGCACACCTTCTACCTATGCTGAACCCCCTTGGACACCAGCCCCTCCAGTTCAAACCACATTTCCTGCTCAGATCCAGGGCTCTTTCAGCAGCATGCCATCTAGGGCAGTGCTTTTTCAAATCCGAACACTGAGAAAATCATCATCTTTGTGTGGTGCTTACATGGCTGTCTAAGGGCTCAGGAATGAACAACTCTACCAGCTCCCTTGCTAAGCCACTTTGATATACTGACCTCCAGTGCTAACTGGAGCCACTCTTAGCATTGTCTCCTCAGCTGCACTATCTCCTCTCCTTCAAGGTCAAGAACCACATATCTATCTATAGCCCTGTAGCATCAAGTACAGTTGTTTGCACAAAGAACTGCCTTGACAGGAGAAAAGGGACACTGAGTAGCGAGGCACTATAGAAAGTAGCACCAAAATAATTGAACTGTCAAACAACACAGAAAATTAAAATCAAGTACGGAATCTGGAAAACCAATCCAGGTAACTACTCTAAAAACCTGACAAATATTTTATTTGGTACAAAGACCTTTTATCTTAGTCTGATGACAAGTAGCAGTAGGGAAATCCAGACAAAGCCTTGTTCTTGTCACTTTGGGAGGCTTCAGTACAGATGACAAACTCAATCAGAGAGAAGGTGCCAAAGTAGCAAAAGGAACAAGGCCCACATATGTACTTTTATCCAGGTCAGGACAGGAAGAGTTTCCTGTTGCCACATGAAGTAACCTCACCAGATCCACTGTGTCACTGTGTCATCACAGAAGCACCACAGAGCAGCAAAGGATTAAGGGTTCAGAGCAGAAAAAAGTGCTCTTAAGAACAGTTACATACCACATGTTCTTCTCACCACAGGTAGACACAAATTGGTATTTGCAGCCAAATGACAATAAATTTTTTAAAATATATTTTTATTTATTGATTTCAAAGAGGAAGGGAGAGGGAGAGAGATGAGAGAATCACTGATTGGCTGCCTCCTGCACACCCCCTACCGGGGATCCAGCCCGCAACCCAGGCATGTGCCCTTGACCAGAATCAAACCCAGGACCCTTCAGTCCGTAGGCCAACGCTCTATCCACTGAGCCAAACCGGCTAGGGCCAAATGACAGTAAATTTTAAAACAATTTAAAAACACTACCATTTCAAACACAAAACCAAAGCCAGTCATGGAAATAAAAAACTTTTAACTGACCTAGTCACATACAAATTATAAACTCACTCCCAAATTCTAAAAGCTCTGGAATAATCTAGAATCATATCAAGTGGGGGGGAGGGGGGAGATATGTCTTCACTACCAACCTAGTAAAATATGAGGAAGTCATTTAAGTTACCTAACCATAGACAGGAAAAAAGTGAAACAAGTCTCCATCAACAACAGTATCTACTCCGAATGAGTTTCTACTAGTTCCTGATCTTCATGAAGAACACAAAGACAAGGTCCTAAAAATAATGTACAGAATTAAGAATTATGTCTTGCCTGGCCAGTGTGGCTTGGTGGTTGAGCGTCAACCTATGAACCAGGAGGTCACAGTTCGATTCCCAGACAGGGCACATGCCTGTGTTACATGCTCAGTGCCCAGTGGGGGTCATGCAGGAGGCAGCTAATCGATGTATCTCTCTCATCAATGTTTCTATCTTTCTATCCCTCCCCTCTCTCTAAAAATTAACATATTAAAAAAACGGGCGGGGGAGGGGTTGGGGAGGAGGAGGAAGTGGCGCGGCTGCAGATATCGCTGCGACTGAGCTGCCTCTGAACATAGGGCGGCCTCCCAGGCCTGCGCCGGAGCCCATGCCCAGCTCTGCCGCCCCCCCAAAAAAAAATTAAAAAAAAAAAGAACCCTGTCTCACTAATGTGCTGAATGATGACTCTTTCTAGGGCCTCCATAAAGTCTAATATAGTTCAGCTCATACAAACCAGACCCAAAAAAACTTAAAGTCCTCACACCCAGCCCAGTGTCCCATAAAGACAAAGGCTGAGCGCTTTGAGGTTGTAACCTAGCAGTCTCTTATCTGCACCGGTGAGAAGCAGGTGAAGATGAGTTAGAGCAGGGGCAAATCCATGCTCTAAAATACCTTTGAGAGAAACAAACTTCTGAGTGCAGGAATAAATAATCTCCTTGCAACACACTAAAAAGGAGAATTAAGCTGACAGTAACAGAAAAACCTAAACTCAAAACAGGGGGAGATGTCCATGTAAAAGTAAAGAAGAAATTGCTTTGTAATTTAACTAAAACTAAAATGAGTTTCTCTGCATTTAGGCAGGCCCAATACTTAAGGTCTTCCAACATTAGAAAACTTCTCTAGTTCACCAAGCTCTATCGAAAGGCATCAGAAAGCACACCATAACATTCTTGCTAAGGGGAATAGCATCCTGGACTAAGCAGATCTACACTCCACTTAGCAGGGCCTTGACAATCTCTACCAGAATAGAGCACCAGTTATGTAAGTACAGCAGTTTCAACTCCCACAGACAGCAAATATCTCATACCAATGTTGACAAAGAAGCCACCAGAAAAGACTAAAAGTAGTACTATACATAGCAATAAAAATTCAAAGACCAAAAGTTTTTTTATCTAGGTCTAGAAAACATACAATTTTTTTGAAGACTAAGGAAGGAAACCAGCAGACTTTGCCTAAGAAAGAACCTCCAAAACCAGAGTGCTCCTGCACCTCCAGGGGGCTGACCCCCGCCACCACAGGGGCCCCACAGGGCCTTTCTTACCCATTCCTCTGCCAAGGGGCTCTCCAAAGCTTCGAGACATTCCCATCTCGTTTCTGGCAAAGTCTCTTTCAAATCCTCCACCCATGCCACGCTCCATCTCTGTGGAAAAAAATATTACCCTAGGCCTTTCCAGGAATATCATTATATTTTAGACATTAACAAAACAAAAAACTCTTATAGACACTACAGCAGCCAACATTCATCCTTTATTCCTAAAAAAAAGTCACCTCAAGTGAATCCCTGAAAGCAACCTACCTTACTCCATGAAGGACTAATTTACAACATCCATTACAGCCACACATGGGCACACCAAGCACCTGCTACTCCTAACTGACCTGGGGGACTGCAGAGCATGTTGAGTCAAAGATAGGCTGCAAGAGAGCCTGTTTATGTACCAGCAGCAGCAGGTACCATTTCTGGTGCACTTGCCACATGCCCTGCCCTGCCCTGCCAAGGGCTTTATGTGTGCTACTATTTCATGGAATCCTCACAACCAGCCACCCCCAACCCCAATATTACCTTACACCACCTCTGCCCCTTTACAAAGAAACTGAGGCTCAAATGACTTCGTAACTTGACCAGGGTCACATTCCTGGTAAGGGGTGAGGCGAAGGTTGAAACCTAAACTTAATGTAAAAGCCCCTGCTGTAATACACAAGCACAGCCATTTATAAATAAATAAATAAACTAGAGGCCCGGTGCACAAATTCATGCACCAGTGGGGCCCCTCGCCTGGCCTGCGGGATCGGGGTGAAACCGGCTCTCTGACATCCCCCAAGGGATCCCGGATTGCAAGAGGGCACAGGCCAAGGGCACAGGCCAGGCGGAAGGACCCCACTCGAGCATGAATGGGGCCGGGGAAGGATGCGAGAGGGTGGCCAGCCAGGAAGGGACAGCGGGAGGGCTCCAGGGTGTGTTGGCCTGTTTTGCTCAGTCCCAATGGGCCAGACGCCAGCAGCAAGCTAACCTACCAGTCGGAGTGTCTGCCCCCTGGTGGTCAGTGCACGTCATAGCGAGCAGTTGAATGGCCTTAGCATATCATTAGCATATTACACTTTGATTGGTTGAACAGAGGACCAGTCACTTAGCATATTAGGAGTGGTTCCATCTACATAATGGAATTTGGGTAACTTCATTTTTTTCTATGCTGACAGCAGGAGTATTTATTTTTTACAATGTCTTTTAAAAACAAAGGCCTTACTGCCCCCAAACTCCACCCTCTGGGAATGGAAACTAATGTCCCTGGTGTAACTGCTGTCAGGGTGGACACTGAGCTACTTGTATATTCTAAAGCAGCGGCCGTCAACCTATTGGACATCACAGGTGGCCAGTGGTCTGTGGACCACTGGTTGGCGACCGCTGTTCTAGACGGTCTTTACACTGTATGCTTTAAAACAATAGAAAACCCTTTTGACTTGAAACTTGCAAACAAAAAATAATAATAATAAATGCAAATCACTTTTTCTCCTTCCCATATTGAGAGGTCCTTGAAAAATCTAGTTTATTATCTTGCTCCCTAGAAATATCAGGTAGACAGGTGCTATTTGAAGGACATCTTTTACTGCACAACTACAAAATAATGGCTATATCCTTATGATTTCCATTGGAAGGAGGCTAGAATTAGTATGGAAATCCAACAGTTTTGGCAATGGTGGACTTTATATTCATAGTCTGAATCAACCCAAATGAATCCCATAGATTGGTGGCATGCTATCTGCTGGAAATGTAGGTAACTTGTCCAAGCCTGTGTCTGGTGGGCAGAAAAGAAATCCCAGAGTGGCCTGTAACAGATGGAGTTCTCCAACACTATTTTAATCCCTATCATAAGCCTATGAAGAAGGCAGCACCCACCCCTTTTCAGATAAGAAAGTCATATGCAGGCATTAATGCATTGTCAAAGGCCTCAGAACTAATCTTCCCAACTGTCAACAGGCCGCAGAATTCAGGAAACCCTGTGTGAAGTCCAATGTACTCAGAGAGAGAGAGAGAGAGGAAGAAGAAGGAGGGGGAGGGAGGGAGGGAGGGATTTTTCACTGCCAAATACTGCATCAAATCAGTCATTATTTGATATGTGATTATCTTTCAATTAAAAATTTTTACATCCATTCTACCAAGATTTAACAATCTACTGGTTGACCGGCCCCAAAAAGCTGATTAATTTCTAATCTGTTATCAGCACCTGTGACCATAATACTAGTATATGCATTATAGTCATCAACTAAACATTAAATTAAATCTGAAACATCTTCAATTTTTTCTAGTGATTAAAACTTCCCTTGGATCCAGCACCCAAGGGATCTAGAGTTGATCCCACCAAATTAGAACACAGTTCAAATGTAAGAAGAAAGGCTCTGTTCTCTACTGTAGAGAATGGAGGTGGACGCAAGTATCTATACCTCAGAACATCCAAGAACACAACCTAAGAACACATCCTCCACTGTGACTCTCCACGAGAATCAGCACTTTAAACCTTTAATCACCAGACTCAAAACTAACCGCAGCATTCCAGCTGCCAGGTCATCAAGGACTTTATCCATCTGGCTCAGCACAGCCCCCACTCTGCTCCCAACTACTTCTAAATCATTTCAGTCCACTCAGAGTAACAACCCAAATCCCCTTTCTAATGACTCATCTACTCTGAATAAACACTTTATCAAGCCAAATTTCTCCAACTTTTATTTTTATTAAACATCACAGGCACACATAAGCCACAGGCAAGCCTGAGAACACACTGGCAACACAGACCTTTGTCCTTCATTCCTAACTCATGGTGAGGGCCTTCCTACATCTTTTTTTCCCACCATGAAGAACACTTTACTCATCAGGACATCGTTTTCCAGTTGACATCTGATGTCTATCCTAGTAATGTATGATTGCGCTATATATCTCCCCAATAACCATTACTACAGACCAGCAAAGAAAGGTTTAACCCCAGATCCTTAATGGCTTCCCATTCCAAGGAATTTTATGTATATAAAGGAAGCAGTGTTCCCACAGGCGAGGTCAGAGTCTACCAACACCCAGAGGATTTTAAAAAGACAGATTGCAGGTTTCTCACGGCACACTCAACAGCCCTGCTAGTGAGGGAGGCTGCTTGAAGCCAGTGCTAGGGGCAATTCTAAAAGGCAGGATTGCAGCATATTAAAGAGTCAGACTCCGGAGCCAGAAAGCCTGGGTCCACCATTGCTAGCCATGTGACCCAAGGGCAAGTCACTCTCTGGGCCTCAGTTTCTGCTTAAATGGGGATAACAGTACCTACACATAATATGGTTCTTGCAAAAACTAAATGACACAACACACTGTCATTATAATTAATATTATCATTATAGTTCTATTAAGAGGTCGGAAGGGCTATAAGATTTGAATGATAGTACACAAAAATTTGTGTTATGTAAAAACTAAATTAATGCTTCTGCTTACAACTCAAGAATCATCAGGGCAAATGATAAAGAACTCATCAGTCCAGCACTCTAGGGGAAACATGAACTTCATAAAAAATGCTGAAGAAACTAATCCCTTACACCTGGAGACCATTTTAAAGGGTGCAAAACATAAACACAGGTATCTACATGATGCTTGCTAGTGTTGCAGGCAATAAGATAGCTTTAAATTTTTACTGAACTATTACTGGAGAAGATTCGGAACACAGGATGTCTCAAGAGTTTAGTGACTAAGAGAATAAATACCTACCATTATGTCTAGCTTCTAAAACTACAAACTTACAGTTTTACTAATATTTAAGGCAATTCAAAGACATTTGATTCGGTAGAAAAGTGGATGGGGAGAATAATGTATTAAAAATGGTTCTACTGCCTAAAGGTCACACAAGACCCAATAGCCAGCAAAGAGCAAGAGGCAAGCAGGAAGGCAACACTTGTCTTACCGTTTATCCTGCCCATGTTCATCCCAGATCCAAATCGACCCATGTTTTCCATACCACCACCAAAGGGACCCTCCATGCCTGAAAAAGAATTCACATTTCAGCACCATCCCTATGAGACTGCTTAGACTGATTAGGAAAAGAAAACGGTTTTCACAAGTTTCATTTGGGCATATTTTATTTTCTGCCAGGAACTTGTTTACCAAGTTTATGGACTTTTAGAAAAAAACAAATGTTAGTGCTCCTTGCTTAAAAATCAGCAGCCTCAAAAAAGCTGATCTGATCCACCCCTTCCATGAATCACAAACAAAGAGAGGTCCAGAGAGATGAAGTGATTTGCCCAAAGACACAGAGACAGTAAGTAAGAAACCCAGAACCAAAAGCCAAGGCACCCATGGGAAGAAACAACAGGTTAATTTCAAGACTTAAACTTTTTTGAAGTTAAAGTAAAAATTTCATGCAGGGCTTAAGAGAAGAGAAACAAATAGGAAAAAAGAGAGAAAACCATAACTAAAAGGGATTACATTTGTACTTCATTTTAAATTTCTTACCTCCCATTTTATTTATTCCAAATCCTATGCCTTCCATTCCCATTCCTTAAAAAGAAAAAGTCAATGCAAATTAAAATTATGTTGAAGCAGTAACATTTGAACTTTAAAAAAAAACCACAACACACACACAAAAAATTCTAAACCAGCAAATGTATAAATACCACTGACTATGAATATATTTTCATTGTCAAGAAAAGGGAAGGTGGTGGGGGTACCATTTCAACTGTCAAACCATCACATTCCCCAAAAAGTATTTAAGCCTTTAACAAAATAATCACCACATGACTCAAAATTATGTAGGATTCACATAGTTTAATTAAATCCTCAAGACAGACAGTTTTAAACATGAAATCTAATTATAAGATACAGACTAGGTAACATTCATTAGAAGCTTATTTTAGGGAGAAGTATATTTAAAAATCTCTTTGAAAGGTAAAATTCTATAAGTCAGGGGTGGGGAACTTTTTCCTGCCAAGGGCCATTTGGATATTATAACATCATTCACGGGCCATACAAAAGTATCAACTTAAAAATTAGCTTGCTATATTTGGTCAAACATTTAATTAACTCACCCCGAATGCCTTGGCAGGGCCAGACCAAATGATTTAGAGGGCCTTATACGGTCCTGGACAGACATTCCCCACTCCCGCTCTAAGTAAAAAGCAGTTCCTAGTAACACTGAGGCTTCCCTCCCCCAACCCAAGCCGCCTTTCCTCTTAGGTATCAGGTAGGAGGGTGTGGTGGTCAGATTAGTAGATCCTCTTTGAGGGGCTGACCCAGGCCTTAGGTAGGCCCCAGAGTTTAAGCTGAAAGATAAGGAATATACAGAACTGATAATAGCAAGGTAGAGGTGCACCCATCTTGAAATTCAAAGGATTTCAAGAAAGAAAGACTTAAGTCTGAAGTCATAAAAATATTTAATAGTATATAAATGCCTCACTGCACAGAAATGAAAATGCTGTTTAAAGTTTGTTCTACACACCAAAGCCTTTATTCATTAGCTATTTCTTATCTTCTTTGAACAAAAACAAAACTGTGCATCACATGTCCTGTGGCCTACAATAACTATGCTGTCATGTAATGAGGCCCCCTCAGGCCTTTTAGCATCCATCAATGCCCCTACCTCTAGAAAACGTATCAACACCAAGGCCTGAGCCCAAGGGAGTCTGAGTAATAGACTGTGGCAGTGCTGTGGTCCCATGATCAGGAGACCTACAGTCTCTGTCACTAACTGATAGTGTGACCTTGAGCAAGACCAACTCTCTGGCTTGCCTCCTTTTATTGAATAGCTTAACTACGTCAGCTCAGAAGGTTATGCAAGGATAAAAAGCTAAGGTATGATGGCTTTAGGGGGAAAAAGGATTCAATTCAGGAAAAATACAAAAAAGCAGGGGCCCTGGCTGGTTTGCTCAATGGTTAGAGAGCCAGTCTGTGGCCAAACGGTTGCAGGCTTGATTCCTGGCCCTAATTGGGGCATGTGCAGAAGGCACCAGTCAATGTGTCTCTCTCACATCAATATTCCTCTCTCCCCGTCCCTCCCTCCCTTCCACTCTCTCTCTAAATATCAGAAAAAATATCCTAGGGCAGTGATGGCGAACCTTTTGAGCTCGGCATGTCAGCATTTTAAAAAACCCTAACTTAACTCTGGTGCCGTGTCACATATAGAAATTTTTTGATATTTGCAACCATAGTAAAACAAAGATTTATATATTTAACAAAGAAAAATCAACCAAAAAAATGAGTTCGCGTGTCACCTCTGACACGCGTGTCATAGGTTCGCCATCACTGTCCTAGGGTGAGGCTTTAAAAAAAAAAAAAAAAAGAGGGAACTTTGTCCCAATTAAATCCTTATTCCTTTTAAACTACTCAATGTCCAATTATCTCAATAACTAGAGGCCCGGTGCACGAAATTCATGCAGTGTGTGTGTGTGTGTGTGTGTGTCCCTCAGCCCAGCCTGTACCCTCTTCAATCTGGGACCCCTCGGGGAATGTCCGACTGCTGGTTTAGGGGCCTAAACCGGCAGTCGGACATCCCTCTCACAATCCAGGACTGCTGGCTCCCAACCGCTCGCCTGCCTGATTGCCCCTAACTGCTTCTGCCTGCCAGTTTGATCACCCCCTAACCACTCCTCTGCCATCATGATTGATGCCTAACTGCTCCCCTGCCGGCCCGGTTGCTCCCAAATGCCCTCCCCTGCAGGCCTGGGTCCCCCCTCAACTACCCTCCCCTGCCGGCCCGGTCACCCCTAACTGCCCTCTCTTGCTGGCCTGATCGCCCACAATAGCCCTCCCCTGCCAGCCATCTTGTGACCATATGGGGGGCAGCCATTTGTGCGAGTGCATGACGGTGAATTTGCATATTACCTCTTTATTATATAGGATTATTTTAATTATATATTGTTAATATTTCCACTCCCCATAAGTCCCCAATCAAGGTACACTGTAATTCTCACCTGCAGGTCCTATGTTTCCCATGCCAATGCCTTTATTTAGGTGATTGGCATCGATAGGCTGCCCTCCTGGTCCTAACCCCATGCCAATACCACCAAGTCCATCTGAAAGGAAAAGAGAAATCAGAAGTGTAAATTCCACTAACTTAGAATAAACCATGACTCTCAACAGCAAAAGAGTCATAACTGTCAAGCTCCATTTCCACCCACCTCTACAACAAACACAGGTTCTAATTCGTAACTCAACAGCTGTACACGTAAGAGCTCTCCTTTTTAAGGCTAACCTTTTACAGATTAGTTTGTGATATGTAGAAAGGCGCAACTAAAAATCAGTTCACTTCAAAGTTACAGAGAACTGTGAACAGCTCACACAATAAAAATTGTGAGCACCTATTTGTTTCCCTAAATAAAAAGGCAACTCAAGCCCTGGCCGTTGTGCCTCAATGGTTAAAGTGTCACCCTGAGCACCTAAGGATCGCAGGTTCGATCCCAGCCCTAATCAGGGCACATGTGGGAGGCAACCAACCAGTTTCTCTCTCCCCCCTTCTACTTTCTCTTAAAAAAAAAAAATCAACAGAAAAGGGTGAGGATTAAAAAAAGGGGGGGGGGGCAACTCAAGACATTAGGTGGCAAGTGTGACAAATATGCCCACTTCCACCTGCCAATCTCTACCCACAAAGCTTCCTAACCCATGGATTGATACCCAGCCCACCCTCAAGTCCACATGCTACACAAACAGGGACCCAAGAATACAGACTGGTCTCAAAAGAGCAAACAAGGTTTGCCCTGACTGGGTGGCTTGGCTGGTTGGAGTGTCATTCTGTACACCAAGAGATTGCAAATTTGATTCCAGATCAGGAAACATACCTAGGTTACAGGCTCAATCCCCAATCGGGGCACATATAGGAGGGAAGCAATTGATGTTTCTCTCTCAAAAATCAATAAAAATAGCCTGGCTGGTGTGGCTCAAATTGGTTCAGCATCATCCCAGACCCCAAGAAGGCCACTGGTTTGATTTCTGGTCAGTAGCGGACATGTAGGAGGCAGCCAATATGTTTCTCTCTATCAATGTTTCTACCTCTCTCTCTCTCTCCCTTCCTCTCTTAAAAAAAAAAAAAAATACCTTAGCTGGTTTGGCTTAGTGGATAGAGCACCAGCCTCAAGACTGAAGGGTCCTGGGTTCAATTCTGGCCAAGCGCACATCCCCAGGTTGCGGGCTCAATCCCCAGTAGGGGGGTTCAGGAGGCAGCTGATCAATGATTCCCTCTCATCATTGATGTTTCTATCTCTCCTCTCCCTCTCTGAAATCAATAAAAGTATTTTAAATAATAAAAATATTTAATAAAATCAATAAAAATTTTAAAATTTAAGAATGGCCACTAAGACCTGAGATAGTGTAAAACACTTGCAGTGCTCTAGTTGACCATGGTCTGAGGCTTAAACCAAGAACAGGCAACTGTTTTTTAAATGGAAAAAGGTTCATTAGAAAGGGGAATGGAGGAGATAAAAGGGCATGGGGGTATAAATGGCAATGAAAAGAGACTTGACGGGGGTGTTGAACACACAATACAATGTACAGATGATGATTACAGAACTGTACACCTAAAACCTATATAATTTTATTAACCAATGTCACCCTCACAAAAAAAACCTGACAGAGTTCCCAAGTGTTTAATCTGATTAACATCCCTCTGTTTTTAAATTACAGAGAAACAGCAGCAGGAAATCACCAAGGTTACTTACTCCCCAATTACTGATGACTTTCAAGTCAACCCTCTGAAATGTGCTCAGAGACCAAAAAGCCTCGGATAATGGGCTCCCTGGGGCCCAGTGCCTGCCTGCCAAAGTTGCCAATCACCACCACCCCCGTCACTCTGCAGAAAGTCAACAAGAGCCACCCCCCTTGACCCAGGATGACCACTGCAAATGATCACATTGGTTATGACAAAAGAAATGTGGTCCTTCAATAAATATTAACTTTCAATAGATAAGCCAACTCCTATTCTTGAAGTCATTGACTTCCCCTCAATATCTTCCTCTATTATGCTTCTGTAACCCTGAACTGCAAAAGCACACAAAAGTTAGCATTCTAGTCTCTGAGGGCTGAGCATCAAACTTAAGTCACTGCTCCAGACTGTAGGCACTGACTGGCACTCCAACAGCCCCACCCCAATTGCCTTATCTGGTAAGAAGTCCTCCCTAGCAAAGCATAAGCAGTTCCCACCCTCACCCACCCCATCCTTCCCATCCTTCCATCAACACACTAGCCTGGGTCTGCACTGCTGATTTCCCAACCCCCATGCTACAACAGGCCCTCACTCCCACTGCTGTCTGTGCCAAGGCTCAGCTTACCCCTGTGGGCTTGCCAGATGAAGTGCCAGACTTCACTAATGTGTGCCATTTCCATCTATGCAGTGACCTATCAACTAGCCTTCCCCGTTGCAACACAGATTTTTACCTGGATATTGCAAATAACCCTATATAAAAATTTTGATTGATGCACTTCACATACAATAACATTCATCAATTTAGAGAGTAAAGCTCAGTTATTTTTAGTATATACAGAGTTATGCAATTACCACTATCTAAATCACCCCCAAAAGAAATCCTATCCCCATTAGCAGTCACTCTTCCAGCCCCTGGCAACCACTAATCTACTTTCTGGCTATAGATTCACCTGTTCTGGATGTTTCCTATAGATGGGAATCAAGTCTCATCCATACTATAACATGTATTGGTACTTTGTTCCTTTTTATGGCTGAGTAATGAATGTTCCATTGTATGGATTTACCATTGTATTTACCCACTGATCAGCTAAAATTATGCTGCTATGTATGAACATCCATGTATGAATTTTGCAAGATAACATGGCACAAATTCAAGAGTCATTGTAGTTTTCTGGTTAATATAAATCAAATTCAAAATCTCAACCATAATAAATGAGACACTTACGGGGAAGTTGTTGTGGACGCTCAGGAGGGAAAAAATCTCCCTTTGGTAAGGCCCTCTCATCCTGAAAGAGAAAGTAAATATATCTCAGTATTCCTAGAAGACTGTTGGCAACAGCAAAAGACAGAAACAACACCCATCAACAGACGACTAGTTTAATAAATTATGAGACACCCTCACCATAGAATACCATGCACGTATCAAAAAAAGCCTGGAGCCCTGGCCGGGTTGCTCAGTTGATTAAAGCATCATCCCAATACACCAAGGCTGGGGGTTCGATCCCCAGTCAGGCACATACAAGAATCAACCAACTGCCCGGATGGTGTGGCTCAGTGGTTAAGCATCAACCTGTGAACCAGGGTCATGGTTCAATTCCCAGTCAAGGCACATGCCTGGGTTGCTGGCTCAATCCCCTGTGCAGGAGACAGCCAATCAATGATTCTCTCTCATCATTGATGTTTCTATCTCTCTCCCTCTCACTTCCTTTCTGAAATCAATAAAATATATATTTTTTTAAAAATCAACCAATAAATGTATAAAAAGTGAAATAAATCTTTCTCCCACTCTCTCCCTCTAAAAAAATCAATGAAAATTTTAAATTCCAAAATAATCTTTTTTTAAAAAAGGAGTATTTCTTGCTAAGAGGAAAGGATTAAAATATACACTCAGGTGTATACTGTGGGGATGGACAGGACCTGGATATGAAGCAAAAGCAAGACTCACATTACCTTTTTCATGCTTTTGAAACACATGAACCAATTTTTTTTGGCTTGTACAGACATTTTAAAAATTTTTTATTGTTGAGTCTTACAGATGTTCCCTCCCCCCCTTAGCAATTATCTATTTTTTTTTAAACTGAACAATTAAAAAACAACAACTCCTTTACAATTCCTTTTATTTTCTTCCTGAATGTGAGTTCTAACTACCTTGCCCTCACCATGTTCTAATCATGCTTGTATTAACCATTGTCTTTGGCACAGCCATAGCAAGGCTAATTGAAGCACTTCAACAAAACTTTAAAGGCTGTCTGAACCGAAGACTTAATTAGGTTCACAACAGATATAATACTAACAAAACATACTGAGAACTGAAAACCCAGGGTATATAATCATTCCTTAAAATTGATCACTTGCTCAAGCAGGATACTCAACTGACCTCCTGACCCTGTCAATCAGCCAACTATGCAAAGAATAATATATCTGAAACTAGAGGCCCCATGCACGGCATGCGTGCACTGGCGGGGGGAGTGCTGCTCATCCAGGTCAGCAGAGCGATGCTCCCACTGTGGGAGCGCACTGACCACCAGGGGGCAGCTCCTGCGTTGAGCATCTGGCCCCTGGTGGTCAGTGCACATCATAACACCTGGTCGACCTGTTGTTCAGTTGCTGGGCTTTTTTATTATCCTATATAATAAAAGGCTAATATGCAAATAGACCAAACGGCAGAATGACCGGTCACTATGATGCACACTGACCACCAGGGGGCAGATGCTCAACACAGGAGCTGCCCCCTGGTGGTCAGTGTGCTCCCACAGGGGGAGTGCTGCTCAGCCAGAAGCCAGGCTTGTGACTGGCAGCTAAGGACCCCTTGGGGGATGTTTGTGGGGAGTGGGCCTAAGCCGGCAGGCAGACATCCCCTGAGAGGTCCCGGACTACAAGAGGTACAGGCCGGACTGAGGGACCCCTTCCCCCAGTGCACGAATGTTGTGTACCGGGCCTCTAGTATAGGTTAGGACAGGATGAGCTGCATGAGCAAAGGTTATTTCTGTCATAAATGTGCTCACTATTTTAACTTAAACCAGCGATTTTCAGCCTTTTTCATTTCATGGCACACAAAATAATTACTAAAATTCTGTGGCATGCCAAAAAATTTATTTTTCGCCCATCTGACAAAAAAAGGGTACACTTTTGATTCATTCACACCGAACAGCTACTGTTGTGTTGGCTGTCATTTTTTTTTATCTGACAATCTAAAGCAGGGGTCCTCAAACTATGGCCCGCGGGCCACATGCAAATACAAATATTGTATTTGTTCCCGTTTTGTTTTTTTAATTCAAAATAAGATATGTGCAGTGTGCATAGGAATTTGTTCACAGTTTTTTTTTTAAACTATAGTCCGGCCCTCCAACAGTCTGAGGGACAGTGAACTGGCCCCCTATTTAAAAAGTTTGAGGACCCCTGATCTAAAGGAAGAGGTTTGTTGAAAGGGGGTGGGGGAGGACAGGAAGAAATTAACCAAAGAACTTATATGCAGAACTTATATGCATATATGCATAACCCATGGACACAGAAAAAATAGTGTAGTAGGCTTTGGTGGGGTGAGGGTGGGGGTATGGGAGGGGGGACTGGCGGACTGGTGCAGAATAGAGGGAGTCAATGGGGGAACAAAATCTGTAATACTTTCAACAATAAAGATAAATATAAAAATAAATAAGGGAAGAGGTCAGTGCCCCTGACTATATAGTCGGGTTTTAGATATATTCTATAATTATACACGACTGGTGCAGAATAGAGGGGGTCAATGGGGGAACAAAATCTGTAATACTTTCAACAATAAAGATAAATTTAAAAATAAATAAGGGAAGAGGTCAGTGCCCCTGACTATATAGTCGGGTTTTAGATATATTCTATAATCATACACCTGAAATTTATATAATTTTATTAACAAATATCACCCCAATAAATTCAATAAAAATAAATAGGTATTGCAAGTTTTAAAAATTATTGTGGCACACCAGTTGAAAAATCACTGACTTAGACTGATCATAAATAATGGCTGTGCGTGCACTATTAATAATCCTATGTTTTTGCTACACTTGAGTGTATTTTGGAGAGCCTATTAACTTACCATTTTCACATGCATTGGTCTATCAAATAGCAGTTGTCCATTGAACATAGCTGGTATTAAAATTAAGGCAATTTCTTACAATTCTAAAAACATGCACAGCAGGAAAGAAATAGATAAGAGAAAAATAATCCAAATGCTACCAGTCCCTCTAGTAATGAAGAGCAATTTTGATTCCTCATTACACTTTCAAGTAACTGTATCTGGTTCTCAAGTCAGCATAAAAGGAACAATAAATAAAGCTCATTCAAGGGGGAAATAAGTAAACCTCAGCTTGCAACGTAAGTGCAGAGTTTCATTCATACAACTTTACACTTCTCACCAAACCATCCTCTTAAGCACTGGCATCAGTTTTCCGTACACATCCAATGAGCCAAGTATCCTAACATTTTAGAAGTACCATGTTTTCTGGGCAAAATACTCAGTGACAGTCTTGCCTGCATTTAGTGACTGTTCCTGTGTGGTAGTCTCCATCGTGGCTACAAAAATGTAACTCAAGGGTAAGAGCCTATGGTGAGAGAGAGAAATGCTTCTTACAGAATGATGTCAATCCACTGGAAATAGGGCCCTGCAAAGGCTTATATAAGAAATAACCGGCCCTAAGTGGTTTGGCTCAGTGGGTAGAGCGTCGGCCTGCGGACTGAAGGGTCCCAGGTTCGATTCCGGTCAAGGGCATGTACCTTGGTTGCAGGCACATCCCCAGTGGGGAGTGTGCAGGAGGCAGCTGATCGGTGTTTCTCTCTCATTGATGTTTCTAACTCTCTATCCCTCTCCCCTCCTCTCTGTAAAATATCAATAAAATATATTTTTTAAAAAAAATAACTGAATTTTTCTCCAGTGGCACATTTATTGGGCTTCCCATTTCAAACCAGACTCCTCTAAAAAGAAATCATTGGAAAAGACCACTTATGAGAATGTGCCTACTTTCTAACCAGCCCTTTTATCTACACAGGATTAGATCAATTCCATAGAAATACATTCCCTCTAGTCACTCAGGAAACAGAAATATGCAAAGTTAACCATTTCCCCACACAAGCCTCTATTACTAACATAACATTTAGACAAACTGTTCCCCAAGAGTTGAATTCCAATAAAAGGATACATATAGCTTGCACAGCTTCAATGGACTGTTCAAAAGTAACAGTGCCTATTCCACGACTTTTTCCATCTTTATCCTCAAGAATGTATGCCCGGACCACCACACCAGCCATACTAAAAACTTCCTTCAGTTTCTTCCAGCCAACTTTATAATCCAGCTAATCAAGGAAGGGGGGAGAAAATCTCAATGTAGACATCTTAAGAAAAACATCATTTGTATTACATGCATGCAACATGCTTTGGTTGGAGACAAGCATTAGAAAAACATGTCACAAAAACTTATGAACTGCAGTAAAATTTCCCAAATAGGATTATAAAGTCTGGCCTTAACTGCCATTTACTGTCTCTTCTCTGAAGAACAGCTTAAAATCACCTCATACATTTCAAAGTAATGCTTTTTTTAAACTTTAAAAAAAAAGGCTCCCCAGAATGTATCATTACCCTCCCCTCCCCACTTTCTTTTGTAAAAAATATTTCCCTTTGCAAATGCAAAGGCATTACCATTTATCCCAGACACAAGAGGGAGTGTCAGTACATAATCTCTGCTCAGAAACTTTTTCACCCTGCACCTAAATAAACCCACCAAAAATGCAGACTCAGCCACCACTTTTGTAATAAACACCAGTAACCACCACCCCCATGGGACCTCAGTCAAACCTGTAACTTATGACTGCGGTGGTCATTAGGGAACAAAGCCTAACCCCAAGGCTGATTTCTTTAACATAAATCAAGAATATAACGTAACCCTCTCGTAAGTTTTTCTTCTCAAACATCAAACCTACTTTTATAACACATTGATAAGACTGTCATAAAATTCTGATTTTTTTTCTACTTCAAACACTGTTTCATTTACTTACATTTGCTACAAATACTGTGCTTCCAAGTCTTCCAGCCTGTAATGCATGGATAATCTCATTTGGGATGTTAGGATTATTTAGGATACTGGGTGGGATATTAATCATTCCTGGGCCACCTGGTCCCATACCCATCCCACCAGTCGTAGCCATCACCTTTTGCATTGCTCTCCTGGCATGTTCACCATCAGGATCCTAAAACGAGCACAGAAGTGTTACATTTAACTGACCCAGTGGCAACTAAACGCATGCTCGCACTGTAAGCGATATCCCCAAAATTTCAGAAATTGAGAGGTAGTTTGGAAAGCATTTCTCAAAATTTTTAACAAGAAATTCAAATGAACTAAATAACCAGGCCAGGAAGAATCCCAGCCAAAGGAACAAGGAAGAAAGAAAGGATGTAAAATTTAGCTCTCAACTAAACTAAGTAAAAAATAAAATAAAATAAAATAAAA